AAGTGATTTGGTTAGTTACGGTCATATGTCAACTTCGATGCTTGTGAGTGTGTCTGTCTCTGTATGTGTATGTGACTCGTTAACTTGAATTTGGTTGTGACGATGATACCTTGCTCTGATGATGTTCGTCAAATGACGGACGAAAGCTTAGCACCTTTTCGCCGGAATCGAAGGAAATTGCCTCGGAAACAGCGCCAGCATGAATGTTACGGTTAAGTCAATCGCCAGCTGGTCAAGAGGAATCGGCCGTTGTCTTCTGGTAGAATTGACCTTCGAACCTCTTCACCAAACATTTTCACTTGAAATCGAGGTAAGCCCAACAATGATAATAGGAATACTGGAATGATGCTGAAGTACATTTCAGTTCGTTTGAAGAGACGAGTTGGTTGCGTGCTTGATTTCCTGTTCTGACAATGCCCATCACGTGACGGAGGATAGATGAAGAAGGATTGATTGAAGTCGCGAGACAATAAGCCGAAGACTTATTCACACAAATTTGCAGTCAAGGCTCCGAAGCCATCCCTCTTCGCCTTCCGTGAAGGCCAACCTACGAATCCCTACGACTCACCTCTTCAAACGAAACAAAAGGTACCTCGACATTAATCCAATAAAGGATTCTTCGGAAAACAGTTTCATACACATCTACTAATTATTGGAATGTTGGCATACCTTTCATTTCGTTTGAAGAGGCGGATAAAAGGCCGTTGCCAGTTGGCCTCATAGTAAACCGAAGGAAAATTGCTTTGGGGTTGTGTGCGAAAAGTTGTGTGATCTTTAGCCCAGGCTCACCGTTTCACGGTCCCAATGAATCCGTACTGAACGTTCGTCTGTTGTGTTACATACATCGTCCTAGTGCCTGGTGAATTATGCTGACGAACTCTGTCGGTGGTAGCTGTTTCCTTGCACAAATAGGCTATTGCCCATTGTTTGAGTGTGTGTGTGCGTGTGTTTAATGTTCATACTACGAGAAAATGGGTTCCCTAGACTGCAATCGTCCCACG